AAGTAAACACACAGCTCAAAACCGATGAATACAACAATTTACAGTAAGAATCCTACATTTAAGACCGATACAGATAAAGGAAAAACAGGAATCAACTAAGCATGCTGCACAGAGTCCAGATAAGCATTTAAGACACATAGACATGCGATATTAGGCTAAAGCAGGATAACTACACATGTCGGTATAACTCAATTAAGATGAAACAGGTTATTACTCAGTAAGAATCGGATTTTACAACAAATAGCCCGTATACGCACTCGTCACCTTACGTACACGGCGCTCACATATCACAAACAGTATCGAATCCTAAGGGGATTTCCCCCCACACAAGGTTAGGCAAGCCACTTACCTCGAACCAAGCTCAATCAATAAGAATGCCCTTTCCTCGATTTTCTGACTCTGAATAGCCCAAATCTAGCCAAACGCAATTACATACCATAAAATATAACTATACGAAACTAATCTAATTAATGAAATCAAGGCTTAAGCAAGAATTTAGAAAATCGTCCCAAAGAGTCGACCCGGGCCCACGTCTTCGAATAGGGTAAAAGTCATAAAATACGAACACACATTCACTCACGAGTTCACTCATACCAAAATTATCCAAATCCGATATCAAAATTCGAATCAAAACTCAAAATTTTAGTTGAACAACTTTCCAACTTTTTCCCCAAATTTCTCAACCCAAATCCTCAATTAAATGAAGAAATCAACTATAGATTAATGGAATACAACCATAAATGAGTTAAGAATCGTTACCCAATAACTCACTCTGAAAATCCTTCAAATTATCGCCCAAATCCGAGCTTTCAAAGTTCCAAAAAGAAGAATGGGATAAAACCCTCGAACTTAGCCTTTTTCTGCCAGTGATTTCGCTCCTGGGGGCCCTTCGTCGCACCTGCGATGCCGCACATGCGGAAATTCCATCGCAGGTGCGAAAATGACGTAAGAGACTTGGGTCTGCTTCTGTGAAAAGGTGGCTGCACCTGCCTGTGCACACCTGCGGACAATGGTCCGCTTCTGCGAAGTCCTTACCCACTCGGCTCTCGCTTCTGCGATCACTCCCCCGCAGGAGCGGCTTCGCTTCTGCACTCCTTTTGTCGCACCTGAGACCAAAGGTTACCCAGACCAGGGCCGCATCTGCAAACTCTCTTCCGCACGTGCGAGTCCGCACCTGCGGTCAACCCCACTGCATGTGCGATTACACTAGACTGCAATGCTTCAGCCATTCCTCCAACTTCCAATTCGATCTGTTAACTATCCGAAATCCACCCGAGGCCCCCGGGACCTCAAACAAAAATACCAACAAGTCCTAAAACATCATACAAACTTAGTCGAGACTTCAAATCACATCAAACAACGCTAAAAACACGAATCACCCTCCAGCTCAAACTTAATGAATTTTTGAAACTTCAAACTTCAACAACCGATGTCAAAACCTATCGAACAAATCCGTTTGACCTCAAATTTTGCACACAAGTTATATTCAACATTACGGACCTACTTCAACTTCTGGAACCGAAATCCGACCCCGATATCAAAAAGTCCACTTCCAGTCAAACTTCCCAAAAATTCAACTTTCTCCATTTCAAGCCTAATTCAGCTACAGACCTCCAAAACACAATCCGGACGCGCTTCTAAGCCCAAAATCACCCAACGGAGCTAACGAAATTGACGAAACTCCGTTCCGAAGTCATCCTCACACAATTCCAACTACGATCAAAATCCTAGAACTTAAGCTTCCGTTTTAGAGACTAAATGTCCCAAATCACTCTGAAACTACAAACAAAACCTCCCGGCAAGTTGCATAAGCAGAAAAAGATACGGGGAAAGCAGTAAGTAGGGGATCGGGGATATTATTCTCAAAACAACCGACCGTGTCCTTACAGCTACTCTTCTTACCCCCTTCCCCAAGTCCACATGTTTCCTTGCTTGCCCCC